TTAGCAAAATGCAAGTTTGATAGCAGTAATTCAAAACGATTGCGGGACATTGTGCTGCGCGGCAATGAAAAATTGTATATCCATTGGATATTGTCCAATGAATCATTAGCTGTGTTCAATTTCTCTTCTTCGTCTGAAACCAGTTCTTCTAGTAATTCTTCAATATCTTCACTTGCATATGAGCCTGAACACGACGAAATTCTATTTCTGACTTTTCTTCTAAAACTCACAACGTTTTCATCACTACTCTCGCTTTCAATTGTACTTTCACGCCGTCCAATGAACATTTTGGGGATAAAAAATTACTGATGTGCGTTTCAGAAAAAGTATGCTTCTCAACTGAATGATCTAGGATACCTGCAGTGAGATCCCTTACAGATCTGGAAAGCGATAAGCGTTTCAAAATCCAAAATAAACTACTTACCAATAAGATTATTTCGGAACAAAACAATGTATCAATTTCATAGGTCGATGGCACTGTAAATGTAGATAATTGACAATGCAGGGACCTACTCGAGTTACATTGTTGGTATTCCCGCATATCTCTCCGCTACCGTTCTAGTGCGCCGACAGTAAAACTTGGGCCGGCAGGAAACTCAATGGAATCACGCTTGGTACGGAACGTGTTAATTTGCATACGATTTCTTATTTACCGTTTTAACACTAGGTTTATGCACGCTATCTGTGTACCTATTTTTAAGGACACCTGTCACATTGACAGTTAAAGGAAATCACGTGCCTTTTTTTCAACGATTAGTTTAATTTAAAAACAATTACATGTTACGTGGGATTGGAATAAGTACGGCCCTGAAAGAGTGCCAAGTGTGTTTGGGCTTAGGATGGGAGTGACCGCGTGCAAGCGAATTAACTGCAAAGAATGTTTATAGTAGGCTGGAGCGAAAGTTTAGGGATGCGTCCAGAGTGATTGAAGTACCTGGCCCACGGAGGTTGCGTGGGAAAGGGGCATGATTGGAAAGGAAAGCCTGGGTATGGAAAAGGACAGAATGAATGTTTTAAATAAGGGTGCAAGCGCACGGGCAGCTCCAGTCTCCACGGTCTACGATCTAGATTCACCACAGTCGTCGGTCATGAACAGTCTACAATCTTTAAGAGTTCTTAAGCTAGTGTCTAAGAGTATGTCGGTAAGGAGTCAAAGTCGAACGTGTTCATAGCGAATCCCTCTTGTTCCATAGCCGTCAATCTGCGTATAAGCTTATTGTATTTTATTATGAAGTAAAACAGCGCTATTTTAGCCAGTCCACCCAAACTGATCCCTACATGTTATATTAACAATCTTAACACGGTGGTTGCCGTGGGGGTCACCGGTGACCGGCACTCGACTTAGCTACAGCGCCGTGGGGGCCACCGGTGACCGGCGACGCGACCAATAGTTAAAATACATAATTGTAGAGTCACACAGTCTCTACTCGCTGGAGAGCACCTTAGAATACTCAGATTCACTGCAGTCTGTATTTTCGATTCGACTTTCAATAACGCGTAATTCTCGGTTTCAACTCTCTGAAGGATTACCACAACTCTCTAATGACTCTCTCAAAACTCTCCTCGGGCCCTTTTAAGCCAGTCTAGAAGGCAAGAGCCTCCCTCGAAGGAGGAGAAAGCTCCCGCCACGTAACGCTCTGGGGTGGAAGGGATTCCTCCTTCAGGTTAGGCTCTAGGACCCTTCCCGAGAGGTGCCCACGGACGCGTCACCCCCGGTTTACAATGGGGAAAACCGGGGTTGAGCGAGGCTACCTCACATGGCCTGGCCCCAACTTCCCCAGACGCTAACTGGGCCTCTATACCCGGGGAAGTCAAAAAATATCCTACATAATTAGGGTAAACATCGATACTTATAAATTTCTAAATAATACCGTTGTTTCTGTAATGCTTTGAAGAAATTAATGCCACGAAAAATGCACAAAACAAGTTTATGCAACTAAACTTATCTGCTGTAAATAATATTTCAGAATAATATGCATCGCATAATGAAAAATTCATGTTGGCGCCTTGGGTAAGTCACGTAAATTCGCGCGGCAGCCAACGTGTTAATATAAGTTGACTAAATCTGTTACCATCGTATAATTGGAGCAACCCTTTCGTCAAATTGACGAGTACTGTAAATCTAGTGTTAAAAATATCGGCAACTTTGTGGCAGAAAATCTTCGAATTATTTAATTACTATTTCTCTGTAACGAAAACCTTGCCAGGACTCACCGCCACTTTGGTTTATACGAACTATATATTCTTTCAGTTTTATTTTTTATATAGCAGAATTTAATTTTTTCTCTTCTTTCCTTTCCCATAATTAATTCGTACGTAAAGAGTATGGAACGATGCGTGTTTCAGCGGCGGAAATCCGAGAAGCACTGCAGCACGCGATCAAGGTGTCACGAGAGGGCAGCTGCCAATGGCCACGGCCAAGGGTGATTCCGGTGCGCGACGTCTACCCGAGCCCGTCCACCACCTACGTCCCGCACTGCGCCATCTTGCACAGGTGTTCGGACGATACCGGATGCTGCAGATCGGAAGCGCTCACCTGCGTGCCGAAGCACTCGAACCGCGTCGAGCTCTCCTTCTACGTGAGTAAATCTTCTTTCTTCCTCTTTCCCCGGACGCGACTGCGCGCGACTATTTGCCACGAGGACGCGGCATGCAAATTGACATTCGAGTCGAGCATGGACCCCTGTCCGCTCTCCTTCGTTCCCCGATCGAACGACAAACGATCCCGCGAACATTGCCTCGTTACAAGGTAGATAAATCGCGAGTAAGAGAGGGGAAATACACGGACAGAGGGAAAGGGAGATGCATCGCGACGCGGAACGATGGATGCCACGGAGCAACGAGGAAGACTTTATCGCCGAGGAGAAAGTAGCATTAATCGTGTAAAGTGTATTACGGAGAATTTATTAGCGAGAAGTCAAGGAGTCGCGGTATTCCCGCATGATTTATGGCGCGCGGGTATCGGAACGCGAATCTTCGACGACTCGGGACTAGGCCCGGCGCAGAGGGCGCACGCGAGTTTTCTCGCTAGTTGCGTACGCGCCGGTTAACCAACACCGACGTTATCGGCGAACCGCGAATTCGATGACTGCACGAAACGCGCTTATCTCGCGTAAATTTCTCGGCTTTCATACGCCTGCCCATTAGTGTCACGGAAAACGGGTATATAGTCCGCGCACTGTACGCTGGAATGCCGGTGCAACGATTTTTCCGTGTCTCTGGCCAGCTCGCAACCGCGTATGATCGAGTGTCAGAATTTATCCAGCTAGCCGCCATCGCCGCGGTCCTGCGACCGCAGACCACCCTACTCTAAACTATTCGCCAATTCGTAATTCCACGGACGAGTCCCGGATCCCGACCACGGTGCATTCCCGTCCCGATAACCCGAACCAGTTACCCAGCACCGGCGCGCCCTCTTCGAATCGGTATCCGAGCGTAATTCAACGCACGACACGCGCCTTCTTCGACGGTGGTCCAAGCGTGTCGCGAGATCCTCGCGCCACTATATTTATGCACGAAATCGATCCCCGGTGAAATTATTGCTTCTTCTACCCGTACATTACGCTCGATTGTCGTCGATGCGCGAGCTCAGGGTCCTCGCGCAACCTCTCGCTCGAGGATTGTCATCGCGCGCTCCAATCGCGTACCGATCTCGAGGTTAATTTCAAGATCGACGAGAGAGATTCTCCGAGAGAATATTAACGGAGATCGAAGGATTTTTCTCGACAACCTGGCACGCCGACAAATCGAGCGCTCTCGACCCATAGACCTTCGTTTCGCGAACCGGTAGTCGGAATTGCGCAACCGGTCGCTCGCGTATGCAGCTTCGGTTCCAAGCCGCTCTTCGCGCAATCCGATACTTTGCAGCATCGTTTTATCCCACGATTACGGACGTCTCGATCCATGCGACCCCTTGCCCTTCTTCTTACTTCCTCCTGTTGCATCTAATCTAATTTTCGAAGCACGATCGGTAGAGGTCCTCGCGGAATACTGAAATTTTTCCATCCGCGAGTCCGAATGACTCGTAGCGATTTCGATGCGAAAAATGGAAGCGGAAAATAATTATTTCCGCGAAGAAAGCGTCGAAAATGATTTGCAACCCTTTGTTCTTCTTCCTTTCACAACTTGCTGTATCTAATCTAATTTTCGATGCAGGATCAGGGTACTCGCGGAACCCTGAAATTTTTCCCCGTATACTTTCTGTTAAGTCTTGGAATGTCGTCCCGGTATTTAGTCGTCCCTTTGTGTAGAACAGACCGTGTGAAGGCTCTGAAATTTCTCAAGTACCATTGATTCGACCCTAGGACCGCAATGTCCCAAGTAGAAGCTTGTTATATCCTTACTGTCAGCGCCCTTTGATTTCTTTAGCACCTAAGCCACCACTTAGGTAATCCGTAACAAACAACTATACATCACCCTTCAAGAAGACAAGCACAATTATCTAGATTGTTTAACCTCTTAGGCACTCACCGTCCCGGAGAGCGTATTTAGAATATGATTTTATAATTAAGGCTTACACTTTTAACAGACCTAACGGTTTATTTTATATTTTATAACGCGACTGCAATTCCGGAGGTTCGATGTGCCTCAACGCCGTTCTAGCGGATTAAGCTCACAAAGGTAAAGCAAAATTAGGAATTTTACTAGAAACCAGACGCGACAGATGGGACCCACTTGTGACAGACCCAACAAGCGACGGACGGACGGCGCTTATAAATCACGTCATTGACCATCAGAAATCGGCTCCTTGACAGTTTCCTACTCCTTCGTCAAAGGTGCTTATGTCACACCCTCTGTCCAATTAAAACTCTTCACCTTTTCACCACCAACATCTATTTTACCCAATCAGAACTAAACTAGAGAGAACACCGGATCGAACACGACGAGACAGGACATAGAGCAAAATCGAGAAGTCAGTTCGTCTTCGGCACCGATTCTTAAAACATCTAAATTACACATACAAACGCGTGTTCGAAACGGTACTCCGTTAACGTCTGCATTATAACTATTCTACGCTTTTCTGTAAATAATCACTCTCTTTTGACCACACGCATTCTGGATCCTTATTATCACAATTAGTCACGCAATATTAATTTGGCGCGTGATAAGCGTTCTTAGAAATCGAAGAGATTCGATACCGTAGGACGCTACAGTGGCTTTCGCGGATGTACTTTCCTGTACGATGCACCACTATAGTGGCCTTCCCGGATGCCACCTCTGCGTGTTTTAAGACGTACCACACTGAAATGTACTATTAATTATTAGAATAAATTGTTAAACTTAAAATACGCGTTAAACTCATATCTTAATTTAAAAAAATTTTAAAAATAAATACTTTCATAAATACTAATGAAAAATTATAATTTAATCATCAAACACTTCGTTCCAACGTACTCGTGTAAAGAACAGCATTATCCGTCACACATTGCAGTGCCGTATCATTTACACGTAATTCGCGTTGAACTCTGCCGTACCGAGAAACAGCCCCGCGTAAAGTTCCGTCGTGTCTAAGAGGTTAAACAACCACCACCACCGAAGGACGCTGAAGTTAACATACACCCCCAACGTCATAGCAACCGATCAGCAGAGAGATCGGGATTATATAATGTTAAGAATCAGGATTTATGGCAACGTCGCCATCTGTGTCTATTTGGTACATCAGGAATGACTATGATGAGGCAAGCGGGAGACGTTGTGCTTTTGTTTTCTGACGATCGTCGTCTACAGTCTGTAAGAGTGCATGGTCAAGAATACACTACTATCTCGCTACCAAATTATTCATTTTATTACCACATCCAACTTTCCACTATAATATCCAACATATAACCACCTAGAGATCAGGCAGGAAGAGTCAGTACGAGTCAGTCAGTCAGAACAGTCAGTCAATAACATTCGAAGAGTTCAACGAGTGTCGGAGATTTTACGTGCCGTACCTTCCAAGTGGACTATCGACACGGCCCCCATGGGCACGGGGTTGGGATACGCCCAACCAGCGCGACCGGGAGTGCCACAGGACACCCCCGATCTTCCAATTTGTCTAACTGGGATGCTAGCCCCAATAGACTCCCTTGGTGTTGGGACGGGTCCTCTCTAAATCCCTACTGCCTCAGGAGGACAGCACCCGAGCTGCACGATGCGCAACTCTCACGTAGGGCTTCGAGGCCCTTGCCTGCGATGAAGGCTCCAACCACTGCCACCACGAGGCCAACCCAGCGACCGACGGGCAGACTGCCGCAAGACAGCCGGCCCAGGGCTAAATCGGTCTCCCGTGGTACCGGTCGTCCCGTTCGTGGCGAACCACTACCGTTCTGAGGCTGCTAGCCCACCTCGACGTAGGTGCACGTCAACTAGGCACCGTGGGGTCGCCAATCCCATACTACGGCCGACCAAGGTCGACCGTAGCCCCTGCGGGGATTCGAAGAGTTCAGAAGAGTTATCCGAAACTACTACATAAAATACAGTCCACTATAAACACAACGTTCCTCGAGAAATTTGGTTCGTCATTAACCGTCGCCAATTGAGGACGACCTATTGACGATATACACTTTCTATCCGCGAGTCCAAATGACTCGTAGCGATCCTGTTATGGTAAAATTCAATAGTGAAGCAAACTCTACATTCTAGGGGTGTGAGGCCGATCCCATCCCCCAATGTTCTGTCTTTTGTTACCAGTTTTCTGAAGACGAATTTTGACCTGCCAGGCCCTAAACAGGCCAGTTATAACCATTCGTCCGTTTAATAAAGATCTACACAATTTTTCCACAGTTTTCCACTGACTATTATTTCTTGCGTAATAACCCCTGTTAAGATTAAGTAAACTTTACACAGTTTTCCTCGTTACCAAGTAACTTTATTATAGTTACAATACACACGTGTTCCTGATAGACTGGGTACAGAGCGACTGACTTGATGCGTCGGGCAGTGCCTCGCAAAGACAAAAGAAGTAACACTATTAGCTCTAACACTCATCAATAAATGGTGTCGTTGGATTAAAATTATTATATTTCCTACAACCCCTTTAGCAGATCTCGTTGCGGAAAATGGAAGCGGAAAATAATTATTTTCGCGACGAAAGTGTCGAAAGCGAATTGCAAAACTTTGTCCGTCCTCTTCTTCCATCCTGCTGTACCTAATCTAATTTTCGGTGCACGATCGATAGCGGTCTTCGTGGAACTTTGAAATTTTTCCATCAGCGTACTTTTTATCCGCGAATCTGAATGACTCGAAGCGATTCTCGTCGCGAAAAATGGAAGCGGAAAATAATTATTTTCGCGACGAAAGTGTCGAAAGCGAATTGCAAAACTTTGTCCGTCCTCTTCTTCCATCCTGCTGTACCTAATCTAATTTTCGGTGCACGATCGGTAGCGGTCTTCGTGGAACTTCGAAATTTTTCCATCAGCGTACTTTTTATCCGCGAATCTGAATGACTCGAAGCGATTCTCGTCGTGAGAAATGGAAGCGGAAAATAATTATTTCCGCGACGAAAGCGTCGAAAACGAGTTGCAACCCCTTGCTCCTCCTCCTCCTCGCCATCATGCTTCGCCTAACCTAATTTTCGGTGCACGATCGATAGCGGTGC